ATTCAGGTGAGCGATACAGGCCCTCTGGGCCTCTTGTTGTTTATTAGATAAGAGTTACAGTTATCATGTTTATTTGGTTGTAACGGGTCATCTACCTGTGAAGTCAAACTGTTGCTAGTGAATTGAAGAAGACTACATTGTACATGCTTTACCAGTCTTGGCAAAAACACTTCTAAAGAGATCATCATACTACCAACTTTATCTTTGTCAAGCATGGTCACACAGCAAAACAGAACAAAATACATCTCCAAAACACTTACACACAGCTGGAGGTATTAGCCAGGTGGCATAGGGCTAGTTGTTAGCACCTGATACAACAGCTCCTGGGAATTCCTCTAAACATATTCTAGCTAGATAGGGTGCTTTATCAATGGTTATATACAATATATTTGATTGATTTACCTGTTGTCACCTAATTAACAACTATTTACCTGTATTTTTGTTTTGAACAGGTGGACCGGATCATCTTCTGTTTGTTTATGCCCCAAGATGTTGCTCTTTATGAAGAACTCATGCAGTTATATTTCCCAGTTTCTTCCAGCCTGGAGCAGAAAGGCAATGATGATGGTAAGTTGTAAAATGTCTTTGAGTGGACTCTTCTAAAAGTCTAACTTAAGTTGGTCAAGTAAAGTTTAAAGATGATATTGGTCTTAAATTTAAGTCCACTAGGTTCAAATCCTGGTGGAAGGAATTTTCAGACATAGTTATCCAACATGATGCCAATCAGGGTCAGCTTGATACCATACTATTGTGTTTGGATGTAGATCTGTAGATCCCATGTCTCAATGCATGTAATAGTCACTTCTCAAAATATCGCAGTAAGAGTAGACTATGATTGTGTCTCCCTTTCCTGTAATACTGTTAAAGTACTAACCTAAGTGCACTCAGATTTTAGCGCATTATCAAATTTTAACAGATTATAGCATTGATGAATTGGCACACTCAAAAATATGCAATAAAGAACAATAAATACATCAAAACTTCAGTTGTGCAATCTTAAGTTAGCGCAAAATTCAAAGCGAGAAAAACGCTTAAAGTTGAGAAGCAGAGGGTGCCAAGACAGTCCATATACGTGATATACCTGTAGGATATGAATTGAGTCATTGATATTTTGAAGATGATTATTGTAAAAGTATAGTTTTTACCTGAATGCATTTTTTCTCTCTAAACAGAGGAGTTATCAGCTACAGAGGAAAAAGTGAAAAATTTGAAGAAATCACCAGGAAAGACAGAGAAATCCACCACACCTAGTCATGTGACTAGGAATGTATTAAAAGATGCTGAGCGAAATTTCACAAAATCTGCAAAAGAAAATGATGAGAAAAGTTTGGATGGAGATGCTGCTGAAGCTGATACTGAACATCCTTCAGCTGCAGCCATGACAGATACAGAGCCAGCAGCGAAGAGGAAGCCTCCGATTAGTTCTGATGAAATATCTAAAGACACAAAGTCGAAAAAGACAGATGAAAATAATGCTGAAAATGATTCCCCACTGGACAAAAACAATTCTGATGCTAAAGAGAGCCAACAATCCCCAATGGAATATACAAATGACTCTCGGATCAAAACTAAATTATAGGCAGTCTCAATGACTTCATTTCCTCGCTTTCTAACATTTTACGTTTCTATGGAATGTAAGTAGAAATGACTGTTATGAGTTATGAAGGGTTTTATATACACAAATGTTATGTAAGTAGAAATGACTGTTATGAGTTATGAAGGGTATTATATACACAAATGTTATGATACTACTACATTATGAGTTTTATAAAGCTCACAATATAATGTGTGCTATAAGGGCTATAAAACTCCTTGTATTTAAGTTTGAAAGGGCTTTAAAACTCATAAATTGTATAGTTGTATATTTTTAGCTTGAGTCAATAAACTGTTTGTAAAAATCTTTTAATTTGTTCTAATAAAATAATTAATCTGTAACTTTTTACACAAAATTACACTCTAATTTGATTCATTTTGAGGAAAAGGGCAAATAATTTCCAACGATTTACTTGTTTTTGTACTTGAAATCATTTACAACAGGGAATTTATAGTGTTCCAAACACTTTGACCTGCTGTAGATAATTTCACAAAATATGATATGAAGGTAATCATCAATACAGTGACTACCTGTAATATGTACAGTGACTACCTGTTATCTGT